AGACAAGCGCTGGTGTATGCAATGTGGTCGTGGCTGTGAAGGCCGTACCCCATATTTATCCCTGTTCCTCCTATACGGTTGCGATGTCGTGGCAACGACGAAATTATCCTCATTACCGACACGTGCAACTATCTTATCTGCAATCGACGCAGCTTTGTCAATTGAGGAGTCTTCCAGCAGAGCCGTTACTGTCGGTTGGACGTGACGTGGCAACGACTCGAGTCACAGCTCTCTGACAATGGGCGTTTGCTGGGCCGGCTAGCGAGCGTAGACGCGCCAGATGCTTGCTTAGCATCGTGTCATCGATCGGGTGACGAGCCAGCAACTGGCGCAATCTCTTCTCGTTAGAGGGGGTGTAGAACGGAAGGATTGCAGCCTTCAGAACGTCGTACGCATCCTTTTCCGGTGGTTTACGGATAATATCTCTAACGGCGGACTTTAAGTCGCCATGGATAGCCTCTACTGCGTATACGTGTTTCGAGCGCTGGCTCCGCACGTTACGGGCGTTACCTTCCCTGAAGCAGTTTGATGGATGTGATACTGCACCTTACTTTCTGCCTATCAGAAAAAACCTATTGACTCGCATTGTTGGAAGCGCAAGAACAGACAACAACACATCAATCTGGACGCAAGAATGGCCCGGGCCACACATCGTCCTGTTCAAACAGAACTGCGCACCTGGTGACCCATGGACGGCTATCCCCTGCACAGCACGGGTTTACCAGAATAATTCGTGTCTAACTAATCTAATTATNTTTCTCGACGAGACTACACGTCGATCAGATCAGGGTAGGGCAGTGAAGGTATGTTACTTAGTCTTCAGCAAGGCATTTGACTCGATGAGTCTTACTTTGCTGGACGCGAAGCTACCAACTTTTGGAATAGTCCGGTCAGCGCGCCAGTGGCTGAAGCACTTTCCTAAAAACCGTAGCTTCACTGTACGGGTTGGAAGCTACACTTCGAGATCAGAGAGGGTTATAAGCGGGGTGCCCCAAGGCTC